TTTCAAAGTCGATGAAGAATTCATAGCCTGGTTCATATAAAATGTGTTCCGAATAACTTGGCTAAATGAGGAAGTCTCCGGATAGCTGACCTGCTGCTTGCCTTATTGGTGTAATCTGTTGGTTTGCATGAATCGTGACTCCACCAGAGTTTCCTTCTCAACTTTAGTCAGTGTTGATTATTGTTATAATTGGTCCTTTCGGTTCTTAGTGGAAGGAAGTAGAAGTTCAGTAGAACATCTTCATTTGACTCGATTTTCTGCAGTCTTCTTTAGCCGGTTGAAAGTTTTGCTACAAGTTTTCATTTGCTCCTCACCCTCAGACTTCCAAGTCGTCACTCTCAATTCGGGTTTCAGTTGAGGATCTACCTGGAAGCTGATGTCACTCAAAGGGTCTGCTCAAAGTGTATGCAGTGCATATCCATTTCCGTTGGCGTTTTCGTCTGTCAGCTGCTTTGTGTTTGGTCCATTTCAAGAGTTCTCTGTTGCAAATACTTTCTGGCCGGCTGTTTGATATTCGATATGGAGCAAAGATGACAGGTTGTTGAAAATCACTTTGGTGATGTGCGCAACAAGTCTGGAAACATAAAGGATCGCTGATTGGTTCGAGATTAGTGTTCTGGAGCTGGATCTATTTTCTTATTCTGAGTGCATTAAACTTCCATACTGATTGCAGAGTAACGCAAGTCCATCTTGCTTTACCGATTCTTGCTGACTAATTACATCAGTCTAGGAATCTGTGACTGTATCAAATAACCTAACCAACATATACATATATATATTGATTGGTATTGACTAGCAATGGAATCCACGATGCGCATTTCGACCTATATTGGGACTCGTCAACTAGATGCACCTGCATTCCCCAGTGGGTCAGTGATAGTATTCTCAACGAGACTCCAACCCAGTGCTGATAGTCGAAAGGCCTATCTTGGATTCCAATGCTAGTCGGCATCAACCAACTGACTTCAAGTTACATGACCAGGCATCGCCGAAGTATCTGTACAAGAAGGTCACATGCCAACCTGAGACCGAACACTTCGGTTCACTTAATCAACGGGAAAATACAACTCAAATTAAACAACATATGTATACATATTTCTCCTCAATTAGCTTATCATCCCAACTGATATGAAGGTTTACAACCGTTTTATGGGAATACCAAAGTAACCAGGAATGGTTATTTGTCGGTTGTTAATTATTTGAAGCTACTGATTGAAACTATTCTAGTCTTTTTGACCTGAAGGTGGGACGGGAAATGTACAGCTGTGTTTTCGACATCATCCACTTTATCATTCTGAGATAATATGTCCATTTTTGTAGTCGGACAGCCAGTTCTCTAGGAAATTTGACGCAAACTGGAGTTATCTTTTGAATCGTTTACAGAAAACCTTTTCAAGGAGTGCAACTAGTTTTTTACTCTGACTTTGATTTGATGCCTGATGGCAACGCTGACACACCACACCATTTTATTTCACTCTGGTTGGCATTTAGGCCTTCGACAAAATTGACTGTGAAATAGTTTCGTAGCTGCGTCAACATTATAGTGTGCAGCACACTTTTATATATATACAAGATTTCACCATGAGTTGACATTGGTTAGAGAACCACTGTAATACGTAGGAGTACTGGACAGCTGTTTCGTCAGACTAGTTTGGGACTCTTCAGCAGTGTGCATTCACCGGGGTTCGAACCCAGGACCTTCTGGTTACAAGGCGCTCTCGTAGACCATTGAGCCACTGGGACCCGATCCAATGCCGCATGAATTCCAATATCTGCCAATTCAGGTTTTCCAGTGGTTCTCTAACCAATGTCAGCCCATGATGAAATCCTGTAACCAATCAACCAAATCCCTACAAATCAATATTTGAATATCAACAAGATAATCACCACGACTTGCCCTATTCAGGTATGCAGTTACCTGACGTTCTAGTGGGAAGTCATGACCAGTAGGGTGCAGCAGGCGGGGTGTGAGTACAAATATTCGCCAACGAAGACATTGGCTAGCAGTTGCGATATATCGTGAATTGGCAGAAGTTAGAATTCATGCACTGGCCAATAGATCGGGTCCCAGAAACTCAATGGTCTACGAACTCGCCTTGTAACCAGAAGGTCATCATGGGTTAGAACACTGCCGGTAGGTGCGTACTGCTGAAGAGTCCCAAACTAGGGCTGGGGAAACAACTGTCCAGCACTCCCAGGTATCCCAGTGGTTCTATAAAAAATATCAGCTCATGATAAAATCCTGTAACCAATCAACCAAATCCCTTAAAAACAAATAATTGAATATTTATATATATGTAACTTAACAGCTATATGGTGATTTCACATGTTTATAATTGACACAGAAAGGCTCACTTCGCCTTTGATGGCAGTAAGGCAAGCCTGGTTAGTATCGCCGATAGTATTACTGACTGTGGTGGACTCAGTCGTCAGACAGACCACAGTGACTGAGAAGACAAATATACGTTAAACTGGCCGAAAGACCCTAGAAAATCTGTGGGTGATTTATTATCTTGTGTCTCACAAATTCGACTTTGGCGGCACGTTTGAAAGTTGAGCTACCTATACTTCTATTTATATATTCATCTAATCTATCATGATTTATTTTTATTCATCAAAAGATGACGTTCGACTGTATTGTGTATTCTCCAGGATTCATAAAACTTTTAAAACTAAGTAACTCTTAAGGTTCTAAGAAAGCTAAGAAAATGCATCATGGTGGATGGCAGTATGCTCTGAAACATATAACTTTAAGTCGAACAATTGTTCCTGTTATCCATGGTACGAACTTCCGTTCTCTGCCCGATAAAATTATGCATGTATAATTTCTCAGATCATCTGATGCTTATCATAACAAAGGCGTTGATCACACTACAAGAAACATGACCCAATGAGCTCTGTGATTTTTTAATATTTTTTTATTACAGCTTGATTTCACACAGTAATTTTTGGTAGAAGTATGGAATTTTCATCATGTGATGTCCATAGCCCGAACTTCGCAGGCCAAGCACTGATATCAGCTGTGCGTCGGCAGGAAATCGAACCCCGGACCATTTGCATGGTCGCCGACAGTCCTAACCACTGTGCAACGATAGGACTTTAAGTGAATACAAAACAGATAAAGGTGATGAAAATATTCATTCAGCCAGTGGCCATACTAACTAACGTCTACAAGAGAAACCAACTGCTGAGGGCTCGGAGGAGAAATCAGTGTGGAGACGTACAGCATTCATTACAAGAGATCCGTATTTTCAACATTAATGTCAGATTATCCAGTGCTTCTATATGCTTCAGCGACTTAGCGCACGTGTCACGTAGACCATTTCCAACAGTCAACTGCAGCCTCGAACCGATATCTGCATACACTTGATACTAGAGATGAAATAAAGTGCTGGAAAGTTTAAGCAGTGATGAACATTGTATTGAAGTAATTTGGTGTATGATAACCAACAGTGGGATCTAGGATACGCATTGCATCTTATTTGGGAGCCATTCATTTGGATTCCTGAATTTCCAGCTAGTGATGACATTCCCACTGAGATTCGATCTCAGTACCCATCGTTTCAAACGCCAACATCTCAATGGAGACTTAATATTTCGGGTCAGAAATCAATAAACATAATCAAATGAGTGTAAGTATATTGGTCATATGCGAAAATAACCGTTGCGTGATATCAGGTGCCAGGCTATTGAGTGGAACCCAGATAAGAAGCAGTGAGTTGGACGTGGTTTCAGAGTTGGTAGTGAAGAGATTACATAAATGGAAGATAAAGGATTATGGAAAATTACGAAGGTAGCTGGAAACGGTAGCGGAGAGCTGAATGTTATGTAGGCGTGTTCGAGAAGTTCTTTGTTCCACTCTGAGTTTAAAGAAACAAGTAATGATAATACAATAACAGACAGGAGTAACTTGTTTGCAGTGAATATATGAGTAAAACTTCGGCACTGTGGTAGTAAAAACTCCCCTAATACTTTGTTTGTTAGCCTTACTACACAGCGAAACAGTATTACTATTCACTGGATGACACCATTCCGAACACAATTTATTACTGTTCATAATCAAATCTATTGTAATCACACGACTTCAAAACTTGAGTTTTATGGTTTTCTTTGTTCTCTCCTATTTGTCGCCGTGGGCGTGGTAGTAGAACTTTCCAGATATTTGGGTGGATAGGTGTTGAATCATTACTATTGCACGTATTTCCAGTTGATTCGATAAACAAAGCTTCTGTTATCAGTCTCTTCCTCCATCCTGTAACATTAAAACTGTCATCTTATCCCATCTATCCTATTGTGTGGTTGTGTGTAACTGCATGTGATGAGTGCTATACCTGAACTATTCTCTAGATTTCTTATCTTATTTGGGTCAACTAATCTAGATTTTGCTAGGTTTTTATGCTCAGCTAGCCTGACTTCACCTGTTCTACTAGTTTGATCTATGTACTTGACCTGACAATTATTGCATCAGGGTATTAGATAAACTAAATTGTTTTGTTTTAGAAGCTCCACATGATCCTTCGACCGACACAGCTTGTTTCTAGTTGAGTTTTTGGGTGGTGATTGAAGGCTACTTTTATTCATGAATTCTTAAGAATTCTCCACAGTTTTAAAATCTGATGTAACATGGTTGGTGGAGAGACATAGATTGATAACAGAAGCTTTGTTTATCGAATCAACTGGAAATACGTGCAATAGTAATGATTCAACACCTATCCACCCAAATATCTGGAAAGTTCTACTACCACGCCTACGGCGACAAATAGGAGAGAACAAAGAAAACCATAAAACTCAAGTTTCGAAGTCGTGTGATTACAATAGATTTGACTATGAACAGTAATAAATTGTGTTCGGAATGGTGTCATCCAGTGAATAGTAATACTGTTTCACTGACTGTGTGATACATCTAACAAACAAACTATTATGGAATTGATTGGAATGAAGTATTTGTTAGTTACATTTTTAAATGAAACTAGTCAAAAATGACATGTACACGAACTTACTGAGTAAATTTCTAACAGTATATTTCAACCCATTCCGCAATGGTGCACTATTGAAGTTAATCTGTATTCTTAACTTCATCAACCGAGGTTGCATAATATTCACACTAACTTTTGACCATAGTAGAATACCGCCAAGAAGTAACACAGCGAAACAAATGATCTTTAAAGGAAAAAAGGAAGTTAAACAAAAGGAAATATTTGTTTTATCACAAAACGAAAGACAAACTCACCCTCATTTAAAGAAATAATTATTTTTCAGACAGATGTCGCCACATATCGACAGTATTTACACAACTGCAGAGAATTACAGAGCATTGTGTAACCATTTCATTCAATATTTTCGAATCTTCCTCAGTGTACACTCATAACTTGACAACTGGGAATAAGATTCATGAATCTCAAGTTGCGGAGGATGTATTGACCGACGAAGAAGGTAGATATAGCAGTGTGCAACTCGTTTTACAACAAACTTAGCAGTTAGGTTTAACTGCACCATGTTTTGTTCGTTGAAACATTTCCAACAGCCTGTTACCGACTTTTATAAACAGCTGCTCAGTTTCACTGACTCCATATTGAAGATCAAATGGCTGGGCGACTGGCCAGAAAGAATTAGCAACAGGAAACTCTTCAGCGGAACAAACCAACAAACAGCTGATTATTCAACAATTATGCAGAGGAACATGGAGATGGATTGGGCACACAGGACTGAGGAGACCGTCGAATGACAGAGCGTGCCAAGCCAACGTCTGAGTGGAATTCGAATGAGAAATGACGAGTGGGTCGTCACTTCTAGGGTGACTTGGAGGAGACAGTGAGAGGAGGAATCCTGGGCTTAGCCGGATGAAGAGGACAGCAGAAAATGGAAGGTAGTGGTGATGTATTGTTGAAGCTCTATGTTCCACTTGGAAACCACGGGAACGAAATATTATTATATGATAATAATATGCACTGTGTTCGTAAACTCATTAATTAGCATTCTAAGCTCCAGAAAGCTAATAACTTAATGATGCATAAATGAGGATTTGAAATCCAGGACCAAAATAGCAAGGCAGACCTTCATCGATCTGAAATCGACATGGAAATCTGCTGCAATCAGCACGAGACAAAAGACATGGATCTTCAACAGTTGTGTCAGATCAAGACTTACACATTATTGAGAGACTTGTTGCGTACATCATTAAAAGCATTTCTCACAGTCTACTGATGACTTTTATCAAATGGTGCATTCAGTTGGTACCAAAGATCAAATGGCTCGTCAGAAGCGAACTCTAGCAACCAACCAGATAAGAGGCTATTGCCTAACAAATATGCAGAAATTTATGCAAACGGATTGGAAACATGCTGAGAAGATTCTTGAGTGGTACCTGACTGGGAAACTACAAGTTGGTCATTCAAGAATAACATGGAGGAGATCACGTGAATATAAATCGGAGGTGCCCGGGAAATTGTGTTAGCAGGTTAAAAAGATCTCAGAGAACAGGGAGAAATGGAGCTGCGCCACAGAAGTCCTAATTTCCACTAAGGATTAAAAGTAATATTACCAAGTGGAACTGTGAAACTGTCGAGTTCACTGACTGTCTACTTTTCAGAAATTTAAATATTCCTACAATACAGATTAAAGCATCACAAGTAAGCGAAAAATACTGTTTCCACTCAGATCTTATCTAGCTTTACTCTAATATCCATCACTTTACAAATAAATGTGAAACATTAATCAGCCACGGTAATAAGGTTAAGAGAGAGAGGGCTCTTAAGATAAGGACCAACAGTATATACGGGGTAGTGGTCATAAAGTCAGTTGATGGGGTCTTAACTGACCAAGTGAGGCATAATGGCTGTGTGAACGTCTTCTGAATGCATACTTTAGACTTAGTAGTTCGAATCCTGACTGCCTACATTAAATGCAATAGACGAGTAAGAGGATCATTGGAAAGATTCAGTCGGATGTCGTAAGTCATCTTGAATGCCTTCTTTTTGTCCACTGGGTGACTTTTATCAACTAAATACAACCAAACGGAACTCCAGATGTTATTTATCTGTCCTTTACCACGATGGCAGATGTTCAGTGACATATTGGCAAAGCTGTCTAGTAGGAAGTCAAAACAACTGTCTCAGCGACAACAGCTGAAATGACAAACACACACACAGATGTGGCAAAACTATCCAGCTTATCCTTTATTTGAGTCACAATCATTCTTTGACTAGTGGCTGACAAACACCGGTTAGCTGAGTAAAATATTCTCCGCAAGGCTTTAACTGGTCTCTGGAAACAAAGGTTCATTTAAGAAATCCCCTGAAAACTTGATAAACATGGGTTTCGTCTGTTTTGTCGTCGAGTTTGCCTTTCTATCTGAGTTTTCTTGTGTTTCTTGAGGGAAAATAATAGTACTAATAATGGTAATAATAACGGTTTTGTTCTGAAACGTCCGTTTTAAATACAGTAGGGAATTCTCAGCTTGTTCTGCGGCAGGGTATTTACTCCTTCGACAAGATCTTAAAATAAAATTATGACCGGTAACAGGATTTCATCATGAGATAACACCGGTTAGACAACCATTTGAATATCAGTTGGGAGTACTGCCAGACACTTGTTTCAACCATCCAATTTGGGACTCTTCAGGGTACGCACCAACTACCAGGATCCAAACCCAGGACCTTCCAGTTACAAGGCTACCGAGCACGTAGACCATTAAGCCACTGGGACCCGATCCAATAGCCAGTCCATGAATTCCAGCTTCTGTCGATTCACTACATAGCGCGATCAGTAGCCAGTGTGACTACTGGCGAGCATTCGTCCTGCTGTACTCCACAGGTCACGACTTTCCAATACAACCCCAGGTAGAACCACATTTAATGGTATACGTGGTCGCTAGCCTTGTAACCAGAAAATCTTGGTTTCTAACCTCTGTAGTGGGTGGGAACTGAAGAAGAGTCCCGAACTAGGCTGACGAAACAGCTGTCTGGCAGTACTGCCAGCTGGTTTTTCCAATATTTCTTTAATCGATGTCAGCTCATGATGAAATCCTGTAATCAATCAATCAAATCCCAACAAACCAATACTTGAATAACAAAATAACCGATAATGCATCTTTTGTAGGAATATTCTTCGATCCAGAGCATGAGATGCATAACTCCGTGAAGTTTTCGCTTGCATTTCCTGTGGGCAGTTTGTAGCAGTAGGTTGAAATCCTATTGAAAATTTGTATGAGACGTGGTTACGACTCATGAAAGCGGTTGGATGGTTAAAACTTTGTGAAATGCGGTAAATATTATGCATTTTCGTAGCCAAGTGATTTAGGCATGTCTCCATGAAACCGTGGAAATAGTCGGATAACTTGTTTCCATAAGAGAATCATGGAAATTCTGTACTTTTCAGGAAAAAACTGACTAGTATTTCTCTGCAGACAGTTACCTAGCATCGATACATCAGTATTGTTTCGTGTTATCATGCAACAGTCATACATTTATTAGTGGACAAATCTGGAATCACAAGCGCATACTGCATTTAATCTGATTTGGTTCCCATCGCCTAAATGAACAAAATTGAACAGATAATAATCAGCAAACAAAGTTTTATTTGTGCCTACAAAAGAACCGATATGTTACACAGGTAAGAAGTGAGTTACCAGGTATCAAAGTGCCTATGTGTCAAGGCTTTGAGCTACAGTCATTTCTTGAGAGGTGGTGATTATACATAGCTGCATTAGATATGATGGAGAATATCTGGGGCTGAGGTGGATGATTCTGATCTGGTTGTGCTTATAAAGCTATAAATTGTAACAACTGTGGAAAACACTAAATTGGCCAAAGTGGACAACCGTCCTCTTCGTCTTCGTATCCACGAACATAAGCTAGCTGTCAAAAGACATGACATCCACTCCATCATATCCCCTCACTGCATACAGACAACCACGGACATCAATTCTGCTGTGACAACCAGCGTTCAAATATTCGACAGAGGAAACACCAAGAATGTTGGAGAATGTCCAGATGCCTGGTATTCCAGTGAATCATCAATCAATAGACACATCGAGATAGACAAAATTTACTACCAATCCGTAAGAAGAAAACCTCACACACAGTGAGTCAAAGTTCAAGTCAAAGAAACAATCAATTCCGACACGAGTAACCTAGACGGCGTGACAACATACAAGAATAACCAATCACGTTCAGGTTCACCCACCAGGAGAGATGACTAATAAACTCGTGCAGAAATCCAAAAGCTATCTTCAACAAGTTGAAGCATGCTCTGAAGATGTAGCTTCACAGACAAATAAACCATCCAGCTGCTCAGAGAACCCAACCACATCAAAATAGGCATTAAACTAGAGGCGGTAGAGGAGGATTCCAACTCAGGACTCCCAGACTTGAAATAGCATTTTAAAACTCATAAGACACTGTCGGTCAAACAAACAAACAAATTGTTAAATCGAAATAAGAATCACATTCACTTGTGAGTTAGGAAAATGCAAAGTAATAACTTACCCCAGTTATCACATTCAATACTTTAAAGGCATATCTCACTTTCGATCTTGGCATAATATCAATCGATTAATTAATTTATCTAAGGTGAAGAATACATAAACAGACACATGTTTACATTGAACTGATCAATGTTCAACATTTTAAAATTGAATACTGAATTCAAAATGTTTTGCTAAGTTATATTGAAGTTGTTTAAATGAAACATGATACCTGTTGTCTTTTTTCTTGAGAAATACGTCTTGAAATTTTAGAATTTAAGTTTAATTTTAAATATATTTTATAAATTATGCTTAATTATAATTTATAATTATTTGATTTTTAGTTGTCTAAGTGTGTAGAACCCATATCTCGCCTTGTCCAATGTTTGTCAGCCTAACTTGTCTTCGCTGAAATAAGTCATAGTGGTAAAAGCTTCAACTAGCAGTGACCTCCAAATTTTTAGTAGTTAGAAAGCTCAGACAGTTTAGCAACAAGACCTATTTTATTTGTTGGGTAGGTCATGGCGAATATAATACCCACCTGAATGCTCCATTTGAAAACTTCGAGAAGGGGATATTTCACCATAGTTTCCTCTGGAAACTGAAATAATTCAGTTGACAAAAATATGCGGTCTGCTTGATAACATAAATGGTAGTGAAGTACTATTGGTGACTGGTGTGACTGGTGTAAAACTGTTCATCTTCATTTATCAGTAGTATGTAGTTTCATGCGATTAAGTCATCATCTTAGTTGCGCATGTGAGCGACAGAGTTCTTTCTCCCATGTTAAGTGGGATAGTATGGGGAATAATATTGACTTTGAGCATCGTTGCGTCCGTGGCACAGCGGTTAGGATGCCCAACGACCATGCACATGGTCCGGGGATCGATCCCCTGCCGAAGCACTCCTGATATCAATGGTTGGCCTGCAAAATTTAAGCTACCATTATCACATGCTGAAAATAATGCGTGGAGTCAAGCTATAATAAAATTAAATTAAATACTGTTAGGCAAAGAGGGTGAGTCAGTCGATGATGTTGTGAAGGTGAATCGACGGAGATGGTTACGCCGTGTGATACCTATTCCGAGTCAGCTGATCCTTTTAAATCTAATTTTATCTCTCCAGTGTCTACCTTAATGTTCTGTATGGAGTATGAAAACTTGAACTGCTCACTTCTGTGCAAAGTTTTATGTTGAAGCTCAGTTGATAAGTCGTTAACAATTGAACGCATATTGTATATTGAAGTTGAGAAATCGAGTACTGATCTAGTGAAGTGTGAATTTAAGTTCCACTCAACTCACTTAAAAAGGTGAACAGACAAATGCATTGATTTAGTTTTTGACCGATGTATGCGTTACACTTATGATCCCATGCGAAATCGAACCCAGGGGCTTCAATGCTTATGAGGTGAGGTCGCTGACATTTCAGGCACTGGGACAAAATCCGATGGCCCATGAATTTTCACTCCTGTTACTTCGAGAAATATAATGCCACCTTCATTCGGTGTTATCAGCAAGCATATATCCTCACACCCAACTTGAGGGAATGGCTTACTTCATAACATGTAGGTCCTAGGTTCAGTCGGCTGAAGAGTTCGAAACTAAAAGAGGACAGCCTTCCAGTACTTCTAAGTTTTCTCACTGGTTTTTATTTCACCATCTGTTATATACACCTAATTCGTTGGGAGGCCCACTATGAGAACAACCGAAAGCATTGCCTCCATCCCAAGCATGGTCCTAATTACACAAGAATTCCATTGGACCCGTAAGTGATGCTTGTTACTTGTTTGTAAATGGGGACCGATTCAAAGCGGCCAAAAGTAGTGTCAATTACGACACCTTCCAATAGTCGTACGGTAGAAGCACCCACTAAGATCTCCGCATGACATGTCATTCCGGTGGTAGTCAGTTCACATCGCAAGTATTTTTCAAGATTTTTGTCAAAGAAATGGTATACAACAGGTGCTGACGCCACCACCAGTCCAAAAGACAGGTAGACAGGTTTGTCAAAACGTTCAGGAGGCCTATAGTTAAAGAATGGGGAAAAGCTCTGCAAAATATTGTAGAACACTTCCTTTTCGCATGTCGCACAACTTCAGCGGCAGAAGGGAGGAAAAGTTCAACGGAACTGATATTAACATAGATGTTGTTCACCCATCATCCAGTCAATATGGGCGATCATCGGAATATTGCTGACGGGTGTTTCCAGACGGGTGACCTACACTACTCTCGTGATTACCACTCAGGAAGAGCGAACTGGATAGAAGTTCAGAATCAAAGCAAAACATGGAACTGTGATTTGTGAGGTGGAAATGGCACATGAAACACGGATGAGATACAAAATCCAGCGATAAAGTTACTATATCACGTCCTCACAACGTGAGATATCTTTGATCTCCGATTTGAGAGCTCTAAATTCCCTCCTAATGATAGTACATTAAAACAATGAAATTAGAGAACAAAAAGGAGTTTCGACATATGAGATATCAAATGTTCAGTTAGAATTTGTCAATAGAAGCTAAGAAAAACTAATAAACCGATTAGTTAATACTAGATTGTAAGGGAAGGAAATGAAACACGTTTTTAATGAAGATGTGATAAGAGTAAGGGATGATAAGAGAGGGGCTGAAAACAGAAGCAAGAGTGGTGTAGAAGTCATCAGTTGTTTATGTCTTAATAGACCAAGGAAGATATAATTGCAGTACAAGCTTTTTGAATGCATAGTTAAGGTTTATTAATGTGAATGCGTATCACCTCAGCTGTATGCAGTTGACGAATACGAAGTCTATTGGAAAGATTTGGTGGGATGCGATGAATTACCTTAAAAGCTCTCGTTTACTTCATTACATGACCACTAAGAAGTGAATGTTACATAACTGAGCTACGGATTGTTTTTGTCTGTCCCTTACCAAACCATCACGATGGGAGATATTCAACAACACGTTGGCTGAGCTGGCTAGTGGTAGAACGCCCAATATAACTGTCACCGCAGGTGCAGTTGAATTGATAAATACATATAGATGTGACAAAACTATCAAGCTTATTCTTCGTTTGCGTCCCAATCATTCGTCGGCTACAGAATGACAAACATAGGTATGCTGCGTAGAACGTTCTTTATATACTCCTGGGTAGTCTCCGAAAGAAAGTCTCACCGGATAAGTCATCATTAAATTGTAACTTAATAAATAGAGGATTTTCGTGCAGTCAGAGTCTCAGGTTTTCTCTCTGATGTTCTCATATGTTTCCTTATGAAACTAATTGGGTAACCTGCCCTTCTCCGTCAAGGAATCGTGAATATATTCAAATTCCTTTTTGTAAGAGGTCATCTGTACATATCTTTCTTGCTCTTCACGTAAGACATTTAACAACATTTCATGGGCACGTAACTAAGGGAGTGTGTGTATTGCCCTCCCAAGTAACCCACCTTCTTGTCCACTCAGTAAGCCATCCAGAAAATGTAATTTACTATCCTGCTTCTCTTCACAAGTGAAAGTAAGCAAAGGGTGGATGTTGTTGAATTTCATCAACAATTCGTCTGTATTTACATCCCCATCAGCTAAGATGAATGTATCAATGGCATATCGGTAATACATATCCAACTCCCTGATGATGTCTTTCGATTTCCCGTTTTCAAGTTTTGCGAGGAAGAGGTCAGCTAATATTGAGTCTAATGGTAAACTCATAGCTATTCCATCTACTTATCGGTAGTATGAATTATTGAAGACAAAGTGAACATTCATTACGCATTTACGAAGTAATTCTTTGAGGCTACACAATTCTACTGGGTAGAGAGTTCGTTAGCGCAAGAGACTCGTAAATCTACCAAATGACACTGAGGGTCGTATTACCATCACCGGCTTGAAATCAAATTTCTACAAATCAATATGTCAGATTCATTTAACAGTCTTAGCATCACGTGTGATTACACAACCTATTTGAAAGAAAGTGCTGATTCTTACATTCACGTCACCTAAAAGGTATTTTCCATGGGTTTAAAAACAAAAATACAACCATGTGACTGAGTCATAGCTGGCAATAGATGTTAACCCTTTTTTCTCTTACGTTCAAATATCTGATACTCAGATTGACATTACATCAATGTTTCAAGGCTTTTCAATTTGATTACGTTCAGATCACCTTGACATACAACCACAACGAATTCCTTTACGTCACAAATAAGATTCCGAAGTGAGTGTAGCTGTTGTGCTACGGTGAATTTCTGTTAACTAGATGGTTTGTTTCACACTGCCATTTGAAGAGGTATCGAAACGAAGATATAAAGACTTTGGATAACTTTCTTTTCTAACTCTCAGAATCTACAACCTCATAGAACCTTAAGTTCAAGATATTCAAGTCAAGAAGGTGAAAAGATTCCTTTCAATAACTAAGGCATAATCTCACGGTCTTACAGAGTGACAGACACCTAATTATAGGATTCCTATAACTCTCTATAATCTAACGATTAAAACTCTCAGTAATTATATGGTATTCGTTAAATTATTTTATTTTTCTTAATTGGACCTATAGTGCACTTATTATTATTATGATTTCCTTTATTTCCTAGAGGAACATAGGGATTCAGCCGCGCGTCCCCGTTGCGTTCGGTGTTTTGCTAGAGTTTTCACCTGGCTCCAAGTCTGTCCACATGCTTTCATCTCCTCTTCACATGACCTCCTCCATGTCACCCTCGAACTAACGACCAACTCACCGCTTCCCTTTCGGGTTCCACACGAGCAATGGCTTGTCTAGTGAAGTCACCTGATGGTTTCCTCAGAGTATGGCCACCAATCCATCTTCATTTTTTCATGCCTATTTGTTGCACAATCGGTTCCTCGTTGGTTTGCTCCCAAAGATCCCTCATGCTGACCTTGATTATTGAGCGAAGGCAGATGTTGATGAAGGTCTGTAGTTTGTTTGAGATGCTCTTTATGACGCGCTGGCCAAGTCTCTGACCCTCATAGTGAGTAGCACTGACATCACATTGGAGTTGAAAATACGGATCTTATTTCTGATGCTGAGTGCTGTTAACCTCCACACAAACTTAAGAGCAATGAGAGCTTGTCTTGCTTTTCCGATTCTGGCTTTGATATCCTCATCAGTTG